ACAATTAATCATTGGAAATATTGAAAATTGGGTACATGTTATCTTGTATAATGACAAACGTGGGACGCCTAGCATAACATGGAATGGAATGTGGAATGTTTTAATCGGAATTTTTTAAATTAGAGCCGTTGAAACAGCTGGATGTAGGATTATGAAGCAATGCAACAGCATATTCAGAATCAGCAGAATTATTATTCCGGAAAGGTCCTTTGACTGTTGCTTTTAACTGACTTTCGAAATGCAGTCCTTTTTTTGTTTCGTTCGAATAGAAACTCTTTATAAAGGAAATATAAGTTGGTTAGTGCAATTTGCTCCCTGAACTATCACCAACTTGCAGTTCGACCCCTGAGCCATTTATCGTAAACTAGAGTACTTTATAGAGTTCATGCTTTCAATTTGCATAAATAACTCTGAAAATCAATCGCTTTGTGACACATTGGTAACTAGCAAAACTCATTTGGTCTCAATGACCCGAGGTAATTTGTTAGAAATTTATATTTTAAAGTATTAAAGCATGATGATAATTAATAGTCTAGTGAATAATTCCAAGAGATGATGAAATTTAGAAGACATATTGCAATTAACTGAAAATAGAAATAAAAGAGATCGTTGTTTGACATTTGTGAGTTTAATTTTTCCAATTGGCTGAGGAATTCTAGTTCTAGGTTCCAACCAAGGTTTTCTTCTTTTTGATTTGTTATCGGTCCAATAAAGAATCTATAATGTAAGAATTAATCTTTTTATAACCCTAATATTGTATATATACATTAGCAATTATAGATGCATGTTACATATGTAAAATTTAAAATTTAAATTCAAATTGAAATTAATATTCATGCATCCAACCCATATATAGTGTATGCATTGTGACTGTGAGTAAATGAAAAATTAATCTTTATGTTATATAGTATTTTGTTAAGGGTTGATTCTAATAAACCCCGGCCCCTCACAAACTGCCTCTTTCTCACATTGTCCCTTTGGGTTGAATTTCGACTTGGATTTGGCATGTGTAACGTTTATGATTTTGTGAACTGGCTAACCTACCCTCCCCATGCTGTATAAGGTTTTACAAAAAAGTTTTAAACAAATTCTTGAACTAATAAAATAAATTAAGACGTAATGTGAATATTACACTTATTGTAAAAACTTTTGAAATTATGAAAGATAGAGCGCATTTACTTAAAAATTATATTTTTTTATACGTTTTGCAATTATAAAAAAAGGTACAAAAAACAGTAGCCATAAGCTAATAATTAGAAAAATTAAATGCAATTATGATTAACCAAAAGCTGCTCAAAATTAGAATTTATAGCAATATTGGGAATAGCTAAATTATTTTGAAAAAATTTTCATCATTGAAATTAAATTAAATTTCTATTAACCGAAAGCTGCATCAAATTAGAATTTGTAGTGATATAGGGATTAACTAGGTTTTTTTTTTTTTTTTTTGAAAAATCCTTCATTGAGAGTGAGTAATGGAAAAAAAAATTTGGTAATTAAGAATCTGGTGTTAATTTGGTCAACTTCCAAAACCATATGTGTTACACACACTAAATTTAGCCTGAAGAAATTGGGCTATGCGATCCAATTATGTGCCTAATTGGAAAAATTACAATAATACAAAATTTGAATAGATTCAATTAAAACTTCAAGGAGGCGACGATGTGAGTAAGAAGCATTTTCTGAAGGAGTTTATAAGAATTAACCCTTTTTTATTATGTGCACTGAAAGGCATAAATCTTTGATTTGCATCCCTTTCTCTTAATCTCCTTTCGCTTTAGCATATTCAAATGGGTTCCCATTTCACATTGTGATCACTATTACAATTCTCTATTACATTATATCAATTTCACACTGACAATTAAAAGCAAAATGGTCACAATTAATTCATTGAAAAGTTAGAATAATCTCACTCCCTACGTGGTGTGGTTGCTTTGATTTCTCCATCGGTCATCCGCAGTTCCGTGATCATAATAGGTCAAATTTACTCTCTATCAATCGTACTAGGTTTTTCCTTTGTGGAAGGTATCTATATCCGTACGAGGGATTGCATTGCATGCCATCTTCTACTGAAAATATAGGCATCGGATGAAGTCGACATCCTTCGCAGCTGTCTATCTTTTTGAGCTACCTTCCTAGGTTCTTATCTTTTAAAGAAGCCTTACGAAAATGCGCTGCCTCTGATCGATCAAGAGTTCTTATTTCCGCTTCCTTGTTACACTTGGTTTGCTGCATGCGAAGACCGCACCGCGCTAATATGTACTGTATTTCAACCATTCCAAACTACCGTTTATTTCTTATCCTTTCATCCGCGGTGGATAATCACGTCCACAAGTACACTTCTCTTTCGGTTTTCCTCTTTATAAAAACTACAAGTATACTTCTGACATTCTTCTCCATTTGAGAATATGTTTCTGTATCATCCCTGGCTTGATTTATTGCTTTTCAACCGGACAATGGGTTCTTGGTTACTAACTGTGGTCTATTTTTGCTTTGTAATTAAAGGATCAAGTGATTTACACATCTTACTGCATCATGACCCTTCTATTTTTTTTTTCTTCAAAATTTCCTCGTATATAAAACATACGCCTCAATTTGTTCACTGTATTTTCAACATTGTCGTCATGTTTTCATTCAAAAGTACAAAATTCGGCTTTTGTTTAAAGCATTCATTCTTGTTCACAATCCACCATGATTTTTGCTATGAAGGGGAAAAGGAGAACACTAATAATAATAATAACAACATTGCCTATCAGATAACAACATACATATAAAAGCAGAAGTAGTAATAATGGCATTATTAGTTCAGAAAAAAAATAATATGATTAATTGGAAAAGAATGATACAGAGAAGCGTATGGAGAAATGCTTCTGGATCTAATACTTTTTTTTTTTTTTTTTTGGAAATCCGGAACATGCCCTGACCCCATCGCTTTAGACCCGAGTCGGTACACCAAATCGGAGGGAAACGCTGCAGCCCCACACAACGTTTTTCCGAGCGAGTCACAGGGTGCTCCAGGGAGTAGTTTCGATTTAAAGACCTTTTGTGTCCCAAAGAACTGCTGTTACCACTGGACCAACCCTGTGGGGGCTTCTGGATATAATACTTTCTTAGACCAAATGCCCTATGTGTATTGGGCAATCATTTTGTTTGGATATCACATTTTTGTAAAAAATTATTTGTTTGCATTATAAACACGATTTTTAATTAATATTTTATCTTTCTAATCACCTTTTCATCTCACATGCATCACATCATAAAAAGTGTTACAATAAATATTCTAAATAATATTTCAAATAATCTCCTATCCAAACACACTTAGATTACGCATTTCGCAAACCCCACATCATGGCTCCGCTGATTTTCTAAAAGTGCGTAATGATACTTAGGCTTTAAATGAAAAGGAAAAAAAATGCCATATATGGAAAGTAAAGGATTACAAAATTAAGAAAAAGGAAAATGAAACTAATTTTGTGTGTATTTGTAACTAGAAAAACTTAGAACATTAAAACTACTCAAGTAATTACGTGTAAAGATAGAAACCTCACAAAATGAGAGAGGTCGGAAGAGTCCGGAGTTGTATAAAGAGGCTATTCTTGTTTAATTATATTTAATTTTTTGATTCTAGATAATCAATTTTTAAAAAAATTTTCATTTGTTTTGAATCTAAAATTTAGACATTTTTTAAGAACAAAATAAAAATAAAATCTTGAATTTTATTTTTCTTGATAATTATTTTTATAAGGAAAAATGGCCAATTTCGTCCCCAAATTTTTTGTTAGTGCCGATTTAGTCCATAACTTTTATTTCTGACTAATTTGATACTTGAACTTATTTCGCAGTTTCAATTAAGGACCTCTGTGGTGGCACCACTACCTAAAACTAATCTGGCTTCTAATTGACTAATTAAACAGGGATATTATCACGAGACCGTAATAAAACAAGTAAACCGTATAAAAAATCACCAAATGAAACTTTTAAAGCGTGTAAAAAATCACCATGTAAAACTTTTTAAAGTTTAATATTGTGATTTTTTTTTTACACAATTTACTTGATTTATTATAATCCCATGAGTGATGTTCCCAAAATACCATTATTTAGTTGGTCAATTAAGAACTAGATTAGTTTTAGGTGGTGAAGCCGCCATTGAAGTCCTTAATTGGAACTGCAAAATAAGTTCACATATCAGATTGGTTAGGAATAAAAATTAGGGACTAAATCAGCGCTAGTGAAAAGTTTGGAGATGAAATTGGCTATTTTCCCTTTTTATAATCAAGTCTTACAAAGTTTCACGGCAAATAGGAACAGGCCAGAAGTGCCCATCGTAAGTAATTCATTTTCATCTGTATCAATGTTTTGTTTCTTAATCCAAATCAAAGAGGCAATCTTGCCATTTGTGCTGGACCACCTTCACAGTTCAGCCCCTGTCTGCATCTAGCCGTTGATTCCCTCGAAAGTCATGAAATGAGGGCTTAAAGTACAATCCTAAGCTGTTGGTAAATGACCAGATAGGTTTCTAAACTGTGAAAGAATTTATAAACTCATCAAGGATCTTATGTGAATAGAGATACTGATTTAAAAAAAAGTTTGTGAAGCAAATTCCACATTCTATTTGATCCATAAATGTAGTTTATGGGGTTTTCTAATCATATTTTTGTAGCCATATATCTTAGATGTCTATTGTTAAGGTATTGGTGAATTGAATCAATTGATTTGTGAATAAACTCATGATGACTAAGACTAAATCAACTTGCATAAATTTAGGCCTCCATTAAACAAATTAAAAGTTGGGTGACCAAATACGATTATGATGAAAATTCAGGATTTCTAATGTAATTAATCTAAACCCAAATGGAAACATTTATGGCAACATCAATATCAACAAATTACAACTCTCTAATATTATAAATTGGCATCAAATGGTGGGACAAATACTAGTAGCATGTGGTAAGGCCAAAAAACTCAAACATAGTGAGATTTGTTTTTATGACCTTTAAATTATGGGGTGGGTCTCACCCTTAGCTGTATTAGAACAGAGCCTCATTGGCAGCCCTAAATGCTTGGTTTGAATATAGAGAAATTTTTATGGGAAAGTGAAGTGTATAAAGTGAGGTAATGGGAAATGACAATTATTTTTGACACATAAGAAATTTCAGATTTGGTTTCTTCGATCTATTGAATCTCTTAAATCTCACCAAAAAAAATTTTTTTTTCAAAGAAAGGGTTTGAACTCTATCAGTGCAAAAGGCAATAAAATTATACAATCATTTATACTATCCAATATCCAATTTTTTTTCCTCGTTCTTCAAAAGCAATATCCCGCTTGATTTTTGGAATTTTTATTAAAATTATTTTCAGCGAGGAGATGGTGAAATTTAAGGAGCAAGAAAAGGGAAAGGAAGACTTCAACCCAACATCTCCGAATCCATCCTAAGACCTTGATTCTTGGAATTTCGTATGAATATACTGCTAAAGGTAGAGGATAGATCATACCAATATAGAATCCAGTAATCTAAGTTTTAGCGCATATAAGCTAGTTCATTGCCGTCCAAACTATCATATGACAAAAGAAATTATGAAAATGTTAGTGCAGTTCCAGCTTCCATGGACTGGAGAAAGAAGGGTGCGGTCACAGGGATTAAGGACCAAGGCCAATGTGGTAAGCTAGAATAGACATCATTTTTCGAATTACTCACGCACCATTAAACATTTCAGCAGTTTCCCTAGCTAACCCTCTTGAACATGAATATTAGGTTGTTGCTGGGCATTTTCAGCAGTCGCAGCCATGGAAGGAATCCATCAGCTGAAAACTGGTAAGCTGATCTCGTTGTCTGAGCAAGAACTTGTTGACTGCGACACTGCTGGGGAAGATGAAGGCTGCAATGGAGGCCTCATGGACGATGCATTCACCTTCATTATTAACAACAACGGCCTTACTACTGAAGCTAATTACCCGTACCAAGCCGTTGATGGAACTTGCAATAGCAACAAGGAGGCTAATCATGCTGCAAAGATCACCGGATATGAAGATGTCCCTGCAAACAATGAGGCTGCACTTTTGAAGGCTGTGGCCAATCAACCTGTTTCAGTTGCCATTGATGCTAGTGGCAATGGCTTCCAATTCTATTCAAGCGGCGTTTTCGCTGGTGATTGTGGGACTGAATTAGACCACGGTGTGACAGCCGTTGGGTACGGTACAAGCTCTGATGGAACCAAATATTGGTTGGTTAAGAATTCTTGGGGAACTGGCTGGGGTGAGAAGGGATACATCCTGATGCAAAGAGATATTGAAGCTAAAGAAGGCCTCTGTGGCATTGCGATGCAAGCTTCTTACCCTACTTCTTAATTACAGCTCAATTAATTGGTGAAACGATTGATGAAGCTACCCTTGTACAAGAGCTATGCTTTGTCTGTAGACAACAGCTCTGTGTGTTCTGATATTGTAATTGATTGCAGTATATATATGTAGACAACAGCTCTGTGCAAACATTTACCATTTCTACACATACAGAATTAATAATTTCAAGGGTAATTTAGTGAATTGATTGCTTCCCCAGCCTCCTATTTTTAAGAGCTTAATGTAGAAATTTTAATTTCGTTAGCAACTACCAAATAAATAAGTAAATAAAATACAAGAAACCCTCGCCATAAATATTTTCAAAGTGTAAAACCATTTTTTGTGAAAAATATTGTTACAAGTGATTATAATTTAATTACCGGCAAACATATAGGGTGTACCTTAAACACTAATTAATTTAAATAAAACCATAAGAGGCAGCAAAAGTGTTTGCCTACTTTCGAAATTGACATCAAGTCAAACCCAAGGAAGGCAATTAACATGAAAAAAAAAAAACTTGAATTTGGCTTGAAAGTAGCACTTAAACCAAATTGATAAGATTAGAGCCAAGATGACACTTTCAAAAGTTGAGGATTAACTAAGAACACGAGGAACTTAATTTCAAGGACAACTAATGGCATCATTTATAGAAGTGTAAACGAGTCTACTCAACCCAAACACTTCAGTGTTTAATTTTGTTTATTTATTTTAGGAAAGTTTGTCAAATTGGTCCCTAATATTTTCACAAAAAACTTTTTTACTTCCTAACATTTAAAATCAGTCAGAATCGTCCCTAACATATAAATTATGATTCATTTTGGTTCTAATGCTCATATTTGCTCATTTTCTAGACTTAAAATAGCACGTCTCTTTCACGTGAGCATATTTTTAAGGGCAAAACCAAAAAACATACTTCATTCCGGATTGAAAGCAAAAGTACCCCTTTTTACCTTTTCCCCTAAAATTATAGTAAAAAAAACCCTTGTTTTCACTAAAAGAAGTGCGCACTAAGTGAACTACGTTCAAGTTTTTTCCAACATAAATAAAATACAAAAGCACTTGGACCAGGGGCTTTTCTTCATTTAACTAACTGCATTTCATATTTACTTATTTCCATATTCTAGGAAGCACGAACTTGTTTATCTGCTTACCTGGAAGGATGATGACAGACTTCTCTTTGGCCAGCTTAAAGCAGAAGTCCATGTCGTCACTAATGTCTTTCAGTAAGGACAGATTAAGTTTCACCTACATTCTCCAAGGAAATAAAATCAACTGAAAAAGATGCAAATTTCTATTGCCTAGGTTGCAGGCTTTACAAATTTGTCAATCACTTACCATTAGAGCCATTGATCCTTCAGCTTTAGAAGGGCAACTAATGCAGGGTATCTCCTCTATCTTTTTGTAACAAATTTCTGCACTCTGCTTGAGCATATTAATGGTCTTGCCAAAAAAAGCCTCCTTGGTTGAAAGTTAGGTACTTCACTCTCTGCGTGACATTTTGCTGTCCTAGCCCTTGCAAGTCGGCCATAGTAGCCGCCGTCGCACTTGCATGTTTCAGTGGTGGAGCCACGTGTAGTAGTTAAGGGAGAACAATTGCACCCCCTCAATTTTGAGAAAATTATGTTTTAAGCTTAGAAAGTTCAGAAATTTCTAATATCGTTCCTTATTTGCCCATTCTAAAATTTAAAAATTCTCTTTCCTATCGTACATAACCTGGCTCCCAAAATAATTAAAAAATTATAATCATTACCGTTCATAAGGGTGTTAGACCTGCCAAAAATTAAACATAGATGTTAATTTTCACTACAAATTTTAAGCACAATTTAAATTAAAAAGCTTATGTACCATAGGAAAGCATGAAGTTTTAAGATGGACATATTTATTGGTTTTAAACTCCACTATTATCGGACAACCGTTTGTGCCGATTTGTGCATTTTCCAACAGCGCGTAACATTTTTTGCACATCGCATAACTTTTTTTACACATGAAATAACTTTAGAACAATTTTTTGTGGGCCCCACACATGACGTGAAAATCGAGTTATATGCTGTAATTTGAATCGCACAAAAGTTTGAGGCCACATCGTGACCGTGAACTTTCAGAAACGGTTGTCAGAGACAACCGTTCCTGCCCCATTTCCACTATTATCGTGCTATCGGAAGTTGACGCCCTAACTCTAGGGTCCTGGCTCCACCATTGGCATGTTCCAAACGGAACTCTAATAGAGGCTTTATCAACTCCGCAGAAATTGCTGCATGGGACATGAATTTCGAGATCTTCGTCGTTACACTACAGTTAATTACTTGAGGGCTCGGTCTTTACTCTTTACAGGTCTTTAACAGCCCGCAACTTCTGCTGTCCTAATCCATACACAAATTGCGGCGGCACTTGCATGTTCGGCGGGGAAGATTGAACTCCGAACCAAACTTCATCAACTTCTTCTGCAAGACTTGCCGCATAGACTTCATTGGCGAATCAGCTTCTTGGTTTACACTACCGGAGGTCTTGAACAGCCTTCAATTTTTGTCCTTACCCTTGCCAATCGCTGAGCACATGAATGTTCCACGCGGAAGAATGAACTCCGACAGTTTATCAACTTCTCCGACTAGACTTGCTGCGTAGACTTTGATGGCATCTTCTTGTTTAACACTAAGTTTACTTGATGTCGTGATATTTACAGGTCTACAGCAGCTGCCAATTTCTGCTGTTCTAGATACCAATAGTGGGGAACTTGCAGGTTCCCGCCGGGAAGAATGATCTCCGAGAGTTTATCAAATTCTTCGACTGGACTCGCTGCATAGACTCCAATGGCGAATCTTCTTGGTTACGCACAACGTTTACCTGAGGTCTTGTGTCTTTATAGGCCCTGGACACCCATCAATTTAATCAGGCAAACCGGAAGATTATTTTCTGATCTACAAATTTGAGCAATGCCTGATGGTATAGAATTAATTTAGAAACCTGCAATTGTTATGCTTGCTTTTCTTAGGTTATTTCTGGTAATTATTTCAATTTGACCTAATCATTGCTAAAAATTTTGACTAAATTACAGGCCTCTTCTTTGGAAAATTTATGATAATATACATCAAGGCCTACCTGCACATGCTTTTATTTATTTCGATAGCAAGTTTAGTTTCACTTCAATGATCACCAACTAAAGTGATTCACCAGCTAAACTAAAGTGATTCTGGGATGTGCTGTTGCACCACTAGCAGCATATTACAAAATTAGAATGGAAGCGCAATGTGTCCAAAAATTAGAGTTTAAAGTTGCAACGTGAATTTAAATAATGAGTTAGGGGTACAAAGTGAAATTTGATCAACTGACTAATCAGTGCGTAGTGCCTACGAAATAATCCCTAAACAATGTTAACAATTTGACTAAAATATGATCACCCTGAAAGTATATGCAAGAATGTGTCCAAAATCGAAATGAGGATGCAAATTGAGAATCAATCATAGGTCTAAAATGAAATTAGTCCATAGAAAACTTAAAAGATGGATGGTTTAATCAAAATATCACTGTAAAACAGTTTTTTAAGTTCCCGTGCCTAATTTTAGTTAATGTATCTGTCATAATGCTTCATTAATTTAGCCAGAAAGATGAACTGCCCTTTTTTTAACGTTCTTCTGGATCGGTCGACTTTTAGTTCAATATATTCTTCTGCTTAGACAAATACTTCCTACGTCTGCCCCAAAACCAACGCTCACGCATGCCAACCGATCTTCTGATTGCCCGTCAATCTTGGGCATAATTTTCCCAGAGTTTCTAGGACCAAAATGATGGGAATTCAGTCATAATTAACTCACCTTTCCGAACTGAAATCTATAAATAGCTAGCTGGTATTCTGAAGGGAAGCAGTGTGGCTTCCCATTAACATCTTTTGCACCATAATTTATTGGCTTTATACTCTCAGATTCTTTCATTCACTTGTTTCTTTGAGCTCTTAATCAAACAATGGCTTGGACATTCAATTCTATGCTGATTACTGCCGCATTCTTACTGCTGGCGATGTTGGCTTCTCAGGCTACTGCCCGGAGCTTGTATGAAGCCTCATTGACTGAAAAGCACGAGCAGTGGATGGTTGAACACGGACGGGTTTACAAGGATGAGGCAGAGAAGGCAAAGCGATTCAAGATTTTCAAGGAAACTGTGGAGTACATTGAGGCCTTCAACAAGGCTGGGAACAAGTCTTACGTGTTGGGCATTAACCGATTTGCTGACCTGACAAACGAAGAGTTCCTATCAGCCAGCACTGGGTACAACTACAAACCAAGGAAAGACGTATCTCAAGGAACTTCATTCAGGTATGCAGATGTCAGTGACGCTCCGCCTTCCACGGACTGGAGACAGAAAGGTGCTGTCACTGGAGTCAAGGACCAGGCAGCTTGTGGTAAGTCCAATATTTGACCACCATTAGTATATGCTTTCCATGCCAAAATGTCTATATGAAGTTGGGCTAATTAGGATGAAAAACCCCTTTGGATAATGAAAATGCAGGATGTTGTTGGGCATTTTCAGCTGTTGCAGCCGTAGAAGGAATTCATAAACTCAAAGCCGGTGAGCTAACCTCGCTGTCTGAGCAACAGCTTGTTGACTGTGATACCAGTAGTAATCATGGCTGCAGTGGAGGTCGCATGGATGAAGCATTTAATTTCATTGCTAGCAATGGCCTCGCCACTGAATCCGAGTACCCATATCAAGGAGCTGATGGCACTTGCAATAACGACCAAGGAGCTGTCCGGATCACAAGTTATGAAGATGTCCCTCAGAATAACGAGGATGCTCTTCTGCAGGCCGTGTCTAAACAACCCGTATCAGTTGGCATTGAAGGCAGCGGCATGGACTTCAAAAACTATCAAAGCGGCGTTTTCTCCGGCGATTGTGGGAATAACTTGGACCATGCCGTGACACTAGTTGGATACGGTACAAGTGAGGATGGAACCAAGTATTGGTTGGTTAAGAATTCCTGGGGAACTAGCTGGGGTGAGGATGGGTACATGCGCCTT